AGCTTGCATAATTACTGGGATTTGATTATTCAAGCTATTAGAACCTAAGTCATAGAATGTAAATAAAGCTTATCAGTTGTTTCAAAAGTCTGAGGACCCAGCAGCCTTCATGGAGAGGCTTATGGGAGCAGTGAGAAAGTACACTGATTTGACTTCAGGAGTGCTTGAGAATCAGAGATGGTTGAATATGGCATTTGTGGGTCAGAGTGCCCCCAATATTAGAAAGATGTTGCAGAAGTTAGAAGGTGGATTGACGGCAGAACCTAGCGCATTTCTTGAAGTGGCATTTACGGTGTTTGTGAATAGACAGAGAGCAGCCATGAAGGAGGAAGCAAAGAGACAGAGGGCACAGATAATGGTGGTCAGACGGCAGTGGCGGGTACCCAACCTAAAGGAGAGGGACCTCGCCCTAGGAGTATGGGGGAGTGAGAGCCTAAGCCCAGACCCCCAGGATCCTTAGCCAAGGATCAATATGCCTATTGCAAGCAACTGGGACACTGGAAAAGGAAATGCCCCTCCCAAGAGGAGAAGCTGGAGCAAGCAGGAGCGAATGCCAAAGTGATGCCGATGAGCTGAAGAAAGTGATTGAAGGGGACCTGAGGAGAAGTTAGTGATCCCCGCCCTCCGGCCAATCCTCTGGTTAAAATGAAAGTGAGGGAAGAAGAATTGGGGTTTTTTATTGGGTACTGGAGCTATCATTCAGTAGTAAATAAGAGAATGGCAAACCCAACCCAAAAGCACATCACAGGAGCTGGAGCAAGTGGAAAACCACAGAAGGCTTATTTCATGCCAGAGTCCTGAATGGCTATTGGAGGGGCTATTGAAAGCCATGAATTATTGTACATGCCAGATTGCCCGATGCCATTGTCGGGAAGGGATTTGCTATGAAGGCTGCAGGCTCAGATCACCTGCTCAGAAGACAAGATTGAAGTGGCCATACCAGTGCAGCAAATAGACAGATTTCAAATTATGTTCTATGGGCTAGACAAAGGGACTGATTGCAAAACTACTGTAAGAGCTTTGAAAGATTCAGAGTTCAACTGGGAACCAGAACAGGCCCAGGCCTTCTGAGAATTAAAGAAGACCTGGGGGTGGGGGTACTCTGGGATTTTGACTCAAAGGTTAGCAGACAGATAAGGGCCTGTGGCCTATTTTATAAAGGCATTGGATCCAGTGGCACAAGGACAGCCCACCTGCCTCAGACTAACAGCTGCCGCCGCCCTACTTTTCAGGATGGTAGGAAATGAACTATGGGGCAACCTACTGAAATTCTGGCCCCTCATTCAGTTCAGGCAATATTAGAGCAAGCAGGAAATAAGTGGCTAACTCAAAGAAGGCTGGCTCAGTACCAAGCCTTGTTGCTAAAAATCCAAAAGTTAACAACCTGTGGAGTGTTGGATCCAGCTACTCTGATGCCAAGAGAGTCTCATGATTCCCCTGAGCATGAGTGCTTACAAGTATTGGACCTCCAACATGCAGGCTCTTCCTGATTTAAAGGATGAGCCCCTGGAAAATCCAGAAAAAGAGCTGTTTGTGAATGGGTCACGTTGTGGATGGAAAAAGAAGAGTGGGATATGCTATGGTAACAGAATTGGAAATTGTTCTAGCAAACATCTACATTTTTCAGCCTGGCAAGCAGAACTCATTGCATTCCCCAAAGCACTCGAACTCTCAGAAGGGAAAAGTGTCACCATTTACACTGATTCAAAATATGCTTTTGGACTGGTCCATGCCTTTGGAAACATTTGGAAGGAGAATTCTTGACCTCCAATGACCAGAAAATCAGAAACAGACCGCAAATCTTGGAGTTGCTGGAGGTCATCTGTTAGCCAAGACAAGTGGCTGTTGTGCAGAGAACACCGGAAAGGGAATTCTAGAATTGCTCGAGGAAAGAGACATGCTGACCAGATCTACAAGTGGGCAGCTGTGCTGAAAGTACCAGTGCAAGGATCCATGTTGCTAATGGTTCAAAATATCACCCCGCTCTATAGCAAATCAGAGGAACAATTTAGAACTGCTTAAATGTGTGAAGAAAGGTGGCTGGTGGATTTTTCCAGGTGAGAGAGTTTATGCATCAAAGAATATTGCCCGAGAAGTAGCCAAACAGTGGCACCAGTCTGCACCTCAAAGATAAACAGCAATGGGAGACACACTGCTGTGTTGGTTGGTGTGTCCTAGCCTATACTAAGTATGAGGAGCAATAGCTCGCCAATGTGTCACTTGTCAGAAGAATAATCCCAAGAAGCAACGACAGATCCCTCAAGGAGCCTGACCCAGAGAAACTATACCTCTTTGTGAGTGGCAAAGAGATTTCACTGAATTGCCTAAAACTAGAGAATACAAGTATCTTTTAGTCCTAGTTGATCCATTTTCAGGATGGACTGAAGTCTGGGCTACCAAAATCTGCCAGGCAAATGAAGTGGTGAAGAAATTGCTAAATGAAGTGATTCCAAGATGACCTGCTTTTGTGGTTGGAATTGGACAGAGGACACCATTTCATGGAGAAGGTGATGCAACAGGTGGTGATAGCATTGCATATACAGTGACATCTCCAATAGGCAGTTGAAAGCTCACTTGGGAAAATTGTGTCAGGAAACAAGACTCAAGTGGTCAGAAGCTCTTCCCTTAGCATTGCTCAGGCTTAGGGCTAGTCCAAAGAAACAAACAAAATTGAGTCCATTTGAGATCATACATGGGAGGCCATACCCAGGGTAGAAGTGGGAGGATGCCATGTTTACTAATGATGTTTTCCTGATGGGAGAGGAAATGTTAAAGAATTATATGATAGCTTTCAGGGTACTCCTAATTCTCTCCATAGGTACATCAACCTTTAGAATCCAGTGGGCCTTAATGTTCCAATATACCCCTTTCAGCCTGGAGATGAGATTCTGGTGAAGAACTGGGCACAGAAACCCTTGAAGGAGAAGTGGGTAGAACCATTGCAAGTGTTGCTGATTATTTCCTCTGTTGTGAAGGTTGATGGATGATCAAAATGGATCTATTACACTTGTGTGAAAAAGAGCACCAGAGACTGCTGAGGAAAAGGAGACTGCAGCTGATTCTACAACGAAAAAAGACAGCCAGAAGCAGACTGTAGAACCTGTAGAGGATTTCAGATTCTCTTCCAGCATAAAAGTTTGCAAAGAGACTTAGCAATTGTAGTATATGTTGATCATGAGGCCAGGGATGTGGCTATTCATTTGTGAACTTTGGGCTATTGAGAGATGGCAGTTCCTTAGGCTCCTAGAAAGTGAGATTCCTGGTAACTCCGTGTGGCACTTGGCCTTCCTGTTGTCTTCATGTTTGCTATAGCAGTGGCAATTCCTAAAGATGCAGCTCTTTCCATTGCTGCAGCAATTCTCCAGATATTTTATGGGGAATGCACAATGCAATTGAAGCCTATACAAATTTCATTTATTGGATTTGTACTTTGCCTTTCCACAAAGAAAATGAAACTCAAGGTGACCTCTGTCCTTAGAATAACTTCAGACAGGCTGTCACCTTATAAGTAGGAAAGGCAGGTGCACCTGTGCTTCAATCTGTGTGGACTAGATTTGTCCAAATACAATCAATGCGTTTATTAGGGACAACCTTAGTTCACTGTTCAGTTTGTATGCAAGCTTTCAAATTATGTGGAAGACTTCTTGAGTCTACATATTAAAATAATACTGACTGAGGGAAATACAATTAGTATTGAGTCAGAGGCCACGGTGAACTTAATGCAGATAATTCTGCTTTATTGTCCTACTTGTACAGGATAAATCAGGACATGCCACTCACTCACACACATTAACACAAAGACAAGATTTAACCTTTGGTTCATCTAATACTCTTCTGCAGCTATTGGTGGCAGTGAGATGGTCACAGAGAAGCCTACTGCTTCTCAAATATATCCATAAATCCTCAAAAAGTTTTATTAGGAAAGGCTTTATCAATAAATAAGTGCCAATGCTCAAAGGTTATAGCACTAATGTGTCAATTAATCCATAATCCATTTCAGGGGTTGATTGTGAGTTGCTGTTGAACACCATGATAACTTTGTATTATTTTGTCATTGCAATCCAACAACAAAAACAAACCATGAACAACCCACAGTTCACAAACCAACAACAAAACATAGTTTTTTTTCATGGGTTGTTTGTGGTTAATACAGCTGGATTCAGAAAACAAAATAACCTATTTTTTCAGCAACAACCTTTGAGTGTGAATTATCATTTTTTTAAAAAACCAAGTGTCTCTGACCCTCAAATCCTCTCATCTGAAATATGGGTTTATCATCTCATTTCAATTTATATTTTTAACAACAGTATTACTAGTCTTGCTATTATTTTATGCATGGAACTTTTGGGGCACTCAGAATGCGTTGTATACATTATTTCAGTAAGAACTGCAATAACCCTTTGCTTTAAAACTGTACAGCACCTAGTACTACATCCTATATATTAATACTTTCTTTTGAGCATATTTCCTACTGTAGCCAGAACAGTACCGCACAGTCAATGCAGCCTATCAGTACTCTAAAGGAAAGCTTCAAGTTTGCAGAATTAAAAAGAAGAGGAAAAGAAAAGCACATACTCGGTGAAAAACCCTGGGCGGGGACACCAAAAGCAGGCAGATATAGGCACAGCGTGTTCACTAAACACTAAATATATGCTGACAAACGTTTGAAAAAGTGGCAGAATAGAGAATGGAGTATCTAGCAAACAAGCGTGACTGGTGGAACAGAGCATTCCACACTGCAATATTTTCCTGCAGGTGCCATTTATTATTACTATTCTGTATAATAATTACAACAAGCACTGCACAATTCGAGCTAAGCAAGCCCAGCGCTCCACCGCAGCACTGTAAGGGCTACTCCGGAAATAACCTTCTTGATGGCGTCATTTCCGCTCCGGCTTCCTAGCCCGTCCGCTTACAGTGTACGGCGGGGAGGATGGCCGGCCAAGGCTTACACGGAACCTCTGGCCCTCGCTCGCCACTGTGGACGGTAGTGCGCAGGCGCGGCGTCACTCGCCCGTCCTTTCCAACATGGCTGCGCCCAGCTCTTCCATTCGGACGCTTCACCTCACAAAGGTAGCCCCGTCCTTGGAGGCTCTAAGTGGGGATGAGCGAGATGCGTCCCGCTCGAGGAGGGGGAAAGGCGTGTTGGCTGGCAGTTTCTTTCCCTTACCTGGTGGGGTGGAGGAGCGTAAGCACAGCGGGGGCACCTTACGCGGGGATGGCGGCTGATGTCGCGGCGGCGCCCTGCCTGCCTTCCTGGTGGACGTCCTCGTCTTCTCACACGATTTGTCCGATAGGGGCATGAAATAAAAGTGGTATTGGAGATCGCAAGGAAATTGTTTTGGACTCGCTCAGAGAAAAGGATCTCCTTGCGAGCAAGCTGGCGCCTTGCCACGTGCTTGCGCACGCACGTGGCGCGTCCAAAACCTCTATGGCGGGCCAGATAGATGTGCATGGCAGCCCAGATCCGGCCCATGGGCCGTAGTTTGAGACCCATGAACTAGAACCTGTTATTCTGTGCCCTGCGCTCTGGGAGAATTGAGAAGAGATCCAAATCCTCTTCCGTGTGACAACCTGAAGTACTTCAAGACCGGTATCATATTTTCTCTCAGTCTTCTCCAGGTTAAACATGCCCAGTTCTTTCAGTTGCTCCTTGCAGGATTTGTTTCCAGTCCCCTGATCATCTTTGTTGCTTAGCAGTGAATCTTTTCCAGTTTGTTGTCATCTTTCTTAAATGATGGGACCTAGAACTGAACACAGAACTCAAGAGGAGACCTAATCAGTGCTGAGTAGAGGAGAACTAGTACTTCATGTTATTTGGCAGTGATGCTTCTATTAATGCAGCCCAAAATATCATTTGCCTTTTTTGCAGCTGCATCACATTGTGGACTCAAATTCAGGTTGTGATTTAAAAGAATTCCAAGATCCTTCTCACTTGTACTATTGTTGAGCCAAGCACCTCACGTCTTGTAACTATGGCTTATTTTTCCCAAGTGCAGAACTTGGTATTTGTGCTTGTTAAATCTCATTCATCACTCCAGCCTATCGAGATTGCTTTGAATTTTATTTTTATCTTTCATGGTATTAGCTATTCCACACAATTTAGTGTCATCTGCAAATTTGATCAGCATTCCCCACAACTTATTCAATCATTAACAAAAATGTTGAAGGTGCTGTTGATAAGCAGTCTGCGAATCTGATTATCTAGCCAGTTGTGGATCTATGTGGGAGTTGTTCCATCTAGCCTACTTTGAACTAGCTTCCTCATCTGGAGATTATGGGGCACCTTATCAAAAGCTTTACTGAATTCAAGATATATTATGTCCACAGCGTTCCTATGGTCCACCTGGGAGGTTTATTTATTTCATTTTTATACTACCAAATAGCTGAGATTACCCAATGAAAAATGAGATCAGATTAATCTGGCAGGATATATACTTGACAAATCCATATTGGTAATCACTGCATTGTTTTCAAGGTGTTTGCAGATTGACTGCTTCATAATTTGCTCCAGAATTTTCCCTGGGATCGATGTCAGACTAACTCATTTGTAGTTTCCAGGTTCTTCCTTTTCCCCTTTTTTGAAGTTAGGAACAAAATTAGTCCTCCTGCAATTGTCAGGTACTTCACCCATCCTCCATGTGTTCTCAGAGATTAGACAGTGGTTCTGGGAATTCTTGTCAGTTTATTACTCTAGGATGCAGCTCACTGGGCCTTAGTGGTTAACTTGATAAAAGTAATTAGGTGTTCCTTGACCATTTGCCTATGAATCTCAAGCTGCATTCTTGCCCTTTCAGCTTGTATGTCACTTTTGCCGGGGAGGTGACAGACCACTTTTTAGAAGAAGACTCAGCCAAAGCAGGAATTGAGCATGTCTGTCATTTCTTTGTCATCTGCTATCATATTGTCATCCTCTTTGAATATCTGAACCACAGTTTTTTCTGTCTTTTACTATGCATATATTTGAAGAATTGTTGCCTTTAGCATGCCTTACTAACCTCAGCATGTTCTTAGCTTTAGCCTTTCCGATACCGTTCTTATAATTCCATGCTATGTGTCTGTATTTTTCCTTTGTAGTCTGCCTTCCTTCTCCTTCCTGTTTGTGTTCTTTTTTGTTTTCAGGGTTTTAGTTTCTTGTGAAGCCACGTTGGCTTCTTCTGTTGTCTTCTATCTTTTATTCTTGATAGAATTGTTAGTTGTGCCCCTAGAATGTCCTTTTTTAAATGTCTGCCCATCTTCGTCTCCTTTTCTCATTGGAGTTGTTTGCCATGGAACCCCAGTTATCTTTGTTCTGAGTTTATTAGTTATCTTAGTTAAATTTAGTAAATTCTTGAATTTAAGTAGCTGGCCTGAACATGAACTACTGGAAACCTCCATCAGCCCAGTTGTTAGATTAGTGATTCCAAATTCCATGCTGGGGCACACTACTATGTCATGTGCCTGCTGTATACATCTCAAAATAGGAAGTGTACACATAGCACTTGAATTTCCTCCTAAGGGTGACTTGATTCTGAGGGAGACATGCTGGTATGCCTGCATGTCAGCAGACAAATGTGTGAAAACTGTGAAAGAATCACTCTTGTCCAGAAAGCTTAGTTGCATTCTTAAGCCCTTATGGGGAGAGTAGATCCCAGGAAGCAGTATTCACTGAGCTATCGGGCATTTCCTAAGGAAAATGAGTGCTGTGTGACACCTGAATTGTACCCCACATCTGTAGAACATGTTGGAAAAAGTGATGTGGCATTTGCTTCCCATTCAGGCTCATTCTGGGCAGAATAACCAGCACAACTTAGTAAGATTCATTCAGAGGTGGGTTGAGATTTGGCCAAGCTCCCATTCTGTCCCCTACATCTTTTTGGCTACAAGGGTCCTTATTCTCTAGTCTCTCTTACTCACTTCATTCCTGTCTCACCATAATAGGTCAAGAATAAAAGCTTTAACTTGGGACTTCTGCACAAGCAGCCAGTACTCTTTCATGTAGAACAGTTTGATGCATGTAAGCTGGATCTAGACACCTTAATTCTGATGAGCAGGCATGGGCATTTGGGTAATTAATCATAATGTAAACATAAAATTTAGAATGTGACAGATGCTTGCTTGCTTCTTGTAAACTGGCAGTCAAGATGCAGATTCATTCTACCATCAGTAGGGTAACAGCTGCTCCAAAATTTCGAACAACTATTTTATACTTGGTCATGTGACAAATTGTTTTCATGAGTTAATGATAATTCTTATGTACCTGAACTACTACCTGATCTTTATATGAATTGTTTGTATGCCTTAATACATCTCACTGTTAGTATAACAAGATTTCAGAATGTAACTTTATAAACCAATAAATGCCAGCATACAAATCATGTAAATGTGATCACAAGACTGTTCCTCAAGGTGAGAAGTAAAAGCTTGATCTCCAAAATGTTCATCATTCTAAGATCTGGTTCATACCAAAGCTTTCCTGTGCAGGAACTGTCACAACCATGCTCAGTCATGCACCCAGCTGGTGGCAGTTTCCATGATTGCACTGGCATGATCAGCTGCTGAGGCAATTTCCAGATTTGCTGTGGGTCATATTATAAGCCATCCTAAGATGTTCTGTAGGTGGCGGGATAGAAACTCTTTTAATACCTACCTACCTACCTACCTAATTAATGAATTGCATTTCCCAACCACAGTATGGACCAAGACTCACACTAAAAAGGAATGTGCAGATTAATTTTCTGCCATTTTGCCTGTTCTCAGTTTCTAGGCTTGTGCTAATTTAATCTTGCACATAAGTCTGCCCATGTGCAATTTGGATTACTTTAATTTTAATGTACTTGTGCAGCTTGTGAATGCGCAGAGACATTAATCCTGCTGAGAAAAAGTAAGAACATTAGCATTTGTTGTAGAAATGTTGACATGTGACTGGAACTCTACGTTCTCTTCTTACTATATAATTTTAAATGGTTTGCAACTTTTAATGCACATGCCATTCTGTTTTTCTGTTTTAAGGGATCTTCTGTGAAGGACTTCTGTTTAGTGCATTTCTTTTTAGTTGGTGAGTCAAAATGTTCTAACAGTCCTGCCTATAGTGAGGTTGACCTGCAGCACCATCACTATTTTTCCCTTTCTTTAGTTATACTGTTCAAGAGAGGTGGACAAAAAGAATTAAAAAGAAGAAACAGATAGGAAAGGAAGGTGGGAAGTACTGTGAGAGGAAAGAAGAAAGAGGTGTGTGGACATATGCTTTAAAAAAATTGACACAACCTCATGTTGTAGGTCCAGACCTATTCGGGTGAGTCTTAAGCCTGAATATGTTCAGAGTGATTTGTCTAGTGCCACTCTACTCTCAGTCTTATTGTTGCTTACAGGTGGGCTTATTGTGGGTTGTTCTCCCCCTTGTTCTCTAGATGGAGACGTGGGGGAGCACTGAAAAAGGGGAAGCACTGAGAAGTGTTGGTTCAATGTATGAAATTGAAAGTATCACCTTATCAAAGGGGAGATATTGCCCTCCCATACACTTTCTTGTGCTGCTTTTTGTCTCCTTTACTGAAGTTTTTCAGTTAACAACCCCTGGCAACTGTGTGAAAATAAGCCTTTATTTATTTTCTAATTTATATGCTACTGAATAGCTCGACAGTGCTCTATAACCAGCAAACAATGTGAAAATACATTAATTACAATTAATTAATTTTATTTATTTATTTATTCAGGGCAGCTTACAATTACAAGTACAGGGAGAGAAGGTGGGGAGAAATCTGCTGGAACAGAGTGAGCTCATATAATCAGGTGTTAAAATCAGGTCTCGAAATATTTGTGAAAGATAAGGAAAGTGACCAGTCAAGACTATATATATTGAAGGTAAAATAGTGTATAAGAGAATAGACTTTAAAAAATAGACTTTACTTATCTGCAATTTTCTGGGATAATTAAAATAGTTAAAATAATTAAATTAGAACTATTATTATTATTAGAACATTTCTATGCCACCCCTTGCCCCTTTAATAATATTTTAAACTGTAGCAAACCAGTGATGGTTATTCTAAAGAGCCACTTGGACATCAGTGGAGGGGCTGTCATTAGCAGTGGCAAAG